TTTAAGCAACTCCGCTAAAAGACCATGCTTGTTCCGCAAGATACGCTATCAGGTCCAAACATAGACACAATCAGATCCTCATAAGTCTTAAATTTCCTACAATCTAGGAATTGGCATGCACAATAAGTAATAAAACTCCTAAAAGGGTGCAATATCTACTTTTAGATCAATTTCATTACTAATTCCCCAATAAGAAATGTTAAAGGGACTCTCTCAAAAGTGGGAAAAATTATAGTGTAGTACCAGGTCAACCGTGATACTTCCCTTGAAATTTTGTCATTTGTCATTATTTTTGTACAACTGGAATTTAATATCATTTTTACTCTTTAAATAAATTTAAAAAATGAAAGCGTGGGGCACCATCTCTGCAATTTTCTCAAGCACCCCATCAAGCAACCCAATCAATGCTGAAAAAATACAGTCATAGTTAGCAACCATCTGAAACCTGCAATACCATGGATTACTCAGAATCTGTATCCCGTTAATGGACTTAATTTATTTTATTTTTATTGTTTCCGTCTATTAAGCTAAGGCTTTCCAGAAAATGAAGAGTGGTGGAAACCAAGTTTGATTTAAAAGTTAGACAATTAAGGTGTAGGGTTTGTTTGGCTTTGGAGTGGAATTAGGGGTGGAGAAAGAAAGGATGGTGCGATGGTGGATGGAGCCGACAATGAAGTGTTGGGCATATGGTCGTAGGCGAGGCTTTCGATGAAGGTTAGGTTGGGGATAAGGAGAGGTTTATGGAGGGGGTGAGTTGGAGTGCAAACTACAGTCGGGGAAGATGAACCTTCCACCCAATTTCAAAATTTGGTCTCTTTCTGTAGTAAAGTACGCCATTTTCACTAATTTATTATAATCAATTAAAAATGCTCCCTTTATTTTAAATAGAATTGAGATTGAATTACAGCTGTATAACAATTGTAATTGTAGAAATGCAGCGACAATTGCACACCGAAAAGAATGCAGAATACTAAAAAGTCAGATATTGGTGGAAGTGATAATTTCATTCCTTCCACTGTGGTTTAAATACACAATTGCGTAGCAGCTATACAAAGAGTCCTAAAGGGATTACAGATCTCCCAATTTTATATAGATAATTGAAACAAAATCAGGTAACAACCTAAGACTAGGTTACTTAAGACTCTAGTCTAACACCCCCCCCCCATCCGTAAATTGTACATCAAAGGATGAACAAGTTTGGACCGAAGTAAGGAATGGCGTGCCTTGAGCAACCTTTTGGTCAACAAGTAAGCTGGTTAATCAACGAAGGGGATGAACCGGACCTTATGGCTGCCTAAATCCATCTGTTCTCGTACAAAGTGATAGTCCAGTTCAATGTGACGTGTTTGAGCATCAAAAAGGGGATTTATCGTCATGTAAGTAGCACTAAGGTTGTCACAAAAAGATAAGCTGGAAATTGAGTGTTAAACCTAAGCTCATAAGACAAATAAGTTAACCAGGATGTTTCGCCAGAGGCATGAGACAAAGCTCGATACTTGGATTCAGTGCTCAACCTAGAAATGGTGAGTTGCTTCTTTGAGCACTAAGAAATTAAATTAGTGCCATAATAAATCAAGTAGCCTGTGGTGGAGTGGCGTGTGTTAACTCACCCAGCCCAATATGAGTCTGAATAAATGGAGATGCGAAAAGAAGTGGGTTGTGGATGGAGAAGTAATCCTTGGTCAATAGTGCATTTAATGTAGCGTAATATACGTTTGACAGTCAACATGTGAGACGAGCGAGGGTTGCTCATGCACTGTGCAACATTGTTCACGACAAATAAGATATCAGGGCATGTCAATATCAAATATTGTAAACAGCCAACAATCATGCGGTACTCTGTTAGAAATGACAAGATAGCATCGTCATGAGCAGATAGCACGACTTTGGCAGCCAACGGGGTAGAACTTAAGTTCCGTCTGCATAGGATGAGAAGGGACGGAGAGGGCTGATGGCCGTGAAGAAGCAGCAAGTGGCTGCATCAATGAAGTAGTGTTGTGCTGTAAAGAAGAATCTTAGGGATCAACGTTGTATTATAAAAGATTAATAGCAAGTAGAGGTACTGTTATAGGGTTTAGCAATAGTAGGCCTGGTATAGGTCCAGCAGGCTAAGGAGAGACCACGGGTTTAGTAAGGATATGAGCAGGCTACAGGCATGTAGACTATGGAAATTCAGCTTTATTGAACACCATGTGTCGAGAAATATAAACATGACCGGTGCTAGGATCAAGACACCTTTATCCTTTGTGAGAAGCACTATAACCCACAAAAACACACTCAAGAGAATGGTTCATTAGTTTATCAGTAACATAATTCCCAAGATATGGAAAACACATACATTCAAAGGTACGTAATTGAGAATAATTAGGTGACCAACCAAATAAAATAGTGTAGAGAATAGATCATTGAAGTGTAGATGTAGGAAGAAGATTAATAAGGTGGACAGAAGTAAGTGCAACTTCCACCCATAAAGTGAGGGGGCATGAGCTGCGGCAAGCAAGGTACGAGTCATATTGACGATATGACGATGCTTGTGCTCAGCAAGTCCATTCTGTTAGGGTGTGTGTGGACATGAAAGACAATGTTGGATCCCTAGCTGACGACAAAATTCAGAGAATTAGTGGTTTATGTATTCAGTGCCTCCATCACTTTGAAAATATTTAATATATTCAGTGCCTCCATCACTTTGAAGATCAAAAGCATCATTCTTAAAGTGCAATTCCTCAAAAGTAGGCAGAAGAAACATGTTAATAATGGCAGTAGTAAGCACCAAATATTATGGGCCAAGGCCACAGAGCACAACAGTGATGAAGTCGAGAACCTTTGGACAAATCGAGTAGCTGATAATAAAAAATAAGGCGAGAACCTTTGGACAAATCGAGTAGCTGATACTGTAGAGTGGCATAATTTGTTATAGAATAGTGAGCAAAGCTACTTTGGAGGCAGTCCCATATGGCTTGAGCAGAGTCATGGTCAATAGTGAGAACGAGAATGGACTCCATCAACGGTAGAGGTAATATAACTGACAACTAATTGATCTTGTTGATACCACTTGATGAAGTCGGGGTTGGAATTGTGGATGAAGTGATGATGGCAGTAGTAACAATCGAAGTGCAATCAGAGTCAGTGGTGGCTGGAAGAGGAGTTGCGGTGACAGTGATGGTATCGCCGATGGTGGGTTTGAGCTGTCAACAAATTTTCCATAAATCATGGCCAATGAGAAATGGCTTAATCTGACGAAGTCATGTAAGGTAGTTTGAGTCTGTGAGTTTCAGGAACTGTGCCACATTAGGTCCAAGAAGCGGAGATGATGAAGACATAGCAAAAAGCAGGATCAAAGTAAGGTGTTAAGCGTATAAGAAGGATGATACCATGGAGAAATGCAATAGCAGTTGCACATTGAAGAGAATGCAGAATACTAGAAAGTGAGATATTTTTGGAGTGATAATTTCATTCCTTCAATTGTGGTTTAAATACACAATTGCATACCAGCTATACAAAGAGTCTTGAAGGATTATAGATCTCCCAATACAAATAATGCAACACACATAATTGAAACAAAAATCGTGTAACAACCTAACATGAGGTTGCTTAGGCTATCTCCAACCGACTGGGCCAAAGAGCCATAGGGCTAAAAATAGCTCGGAATGACACGAAAATAGTTTCTAATCGAGGGCTAAGTCAAAGGGCTTATGGGCCTCACTGGGCCAAAACACCCAAATCAGGCTAGCGGGCTGGCCATTTCCAGCCAGCCCTCTAGCCCAACCCACTTGCTCTACAACAGCTATTTGGCGTCAGCATGACGCCACCTAGCAATGTCTAGATGACGTTAGGTTACCGTTGGAATTTGATTTTTTTTTTTTTTAGGACGATTTTTTTCCCCTATAAATACCTATGTCATTCATACACAATTTCTCACTTACTTTTTCACCATTCCATACTATCCGAAAAATTATTGAGATTATATAAAGATAAGAAATCCGGATGTTTATTCATTTAGCAACAAGTGACACTCAAAATATATCCAAAACCTTATTTTAATGTAGCAGTTTAATTTAATTAACCATATTAATTTAATTAAAATAATAAATTATTGAAAGAGTTATGTTTAACCTATGATCCTTTGGCCTGCTTAGTTGGAGATGATTTTTTGTCAAATGGCTATGTTTGGCCTATGACCTTTTGGTCCCCTCGGTTGTAGATAGTATAAAATATGGTCTAGCACTATTCATTAAAATATAAATTTCTTGCAGGGTTATAACTTATAAGGCTAAACATGGCTCCTTGGCAATCCTTCGGTTGAAGATGGCCTTAGAACTCTACTCTAACAGTAACACATGGCAAAATTTAAATGGAAGCGTTATAGATAACGTGATACTATTGTACTATAGTATAACGTTTTCAAAAGTATGACTCTCATGGACTCTCTGTTACTTGACAATTTAATGTTAATTTTCGTACTATTATTTAAGTGTGCAAAATACATGAGGTGGAAGAGAATCCATAAAGAGTCTCACTTTTCAAAAAGTTTATTAAACATTCATCTAGTCGAGTACTAGGAAAAACAAAGAAACTAGTTCGATGAAAAAAAAAAAAGGTAACCAGTTCGATGGATGGTTGGGGCAGCAATTATTCACGAGGTGACACGTGTTCCTTGTCTGCTTGCCGCACATCGCTACTTCCCACAATGGAACCACATGGAGCATTTTTGCTCACCAACTTTTACTGTCGTGTAAGCTCACCATCTTATTTATTATTATTAGATAAGTGTGAATTTTCAGATTCGTGTAATGGATAAGCGCAAATCTTAAAATTTAAACTTATCTAACGATGATAAAAAGGATGGTGTATACACACTACACCAAATGGTAATGAGCAAAAATACGCTCATGTAACCACCTCGGGTCCGTCCAGATTCTAAGGAAAACGTTTGGCTCTGAAACTGCCATCAAAGCAACCCCCACTTCCACGCCAAAACTGCTTCCACCTCAGAATTTTCAAATATTTCAAATTTATTTCCCAGAAAAACAAAAAATCCAACTTTTTACTTCCTCTATTTTATATTATTCAATTTAGCCCAACGTAAAAGCTGGAGTCGCAATTTGCATGGTCGTCAATGGCTCAATTACCGTCCCCCTCCCCTGTGTTCACTGAAGCTCTCAAGTTACAAAACCCATTACCAAATGGTTGCTCTAGAACTCCATGGCGCATGTTAGCCAAGCCCAGCAGTAGCCTGACTTCGATGGGTGGTCATGGCGGTGGCGGGAGGAGGCGAAGAGGCTTGGGCAGGCTCAGAGTGGCAATCGACGGCTCACCTTCAACAGACGCCGTCGCTGATGATTACTACTCCGTCTTGGGATTGGTATGACTAATACTATTGCTTTTTTTTATTAATTTCATCTGCGTTTTGGTTAAATTTGCAAAATTTTATGCTTCCGGGTAAATTACAGCCTTGTCATAATCAAAGACTCGAAGAAAATGGTGGTCACCTACCATTCGATCTTTAATCCAACGGCAAATGGTCATTTTACTTTTGTTGTTGTACCTTCTCCTCCGCCATTGGATTGAGATACAATGAGAGACCACGATTTCCCTACTTGGACCATGGGGTCTTTTTTATGATTATGTAATGATATTGTTATGAATTTTTAGGAGTAGGGTTTTTTTTTTTTTTTTATATTTTTTTTATATGTTTGTTTGTTTGAATGCTTAGATTTTGTATTTTATGTTAATGATAGCTTCCAGATGCGACGCCAGCACAAATTAAAAAGGCGTATTATAATTGTATGAAAGCTTGCCATCCGGACTTGAGTGGTGATAATCCAAACACCACCAATTTCTGCATCTTCATCAATGAGGTCTATGAGGTTCTCAGTGACCCTGTGCAACGCATGGTTTACGATGAAATTCACGGCTATGCTTTGACAGCAATCAATCCCTTCCTGGACGACTCTGCATTAAGGGATCATGCATTTGTCGATGAATTTAGCTGCATAGGCTGCAAAAACTGTGCCAGTGTTGCTCAGGATGTCTTTGGTATCGAGGAAGACTTTGGAAGAGCCTGAGTGTACAGTCAGTGTGGGAACGTAGATTTAATTCAACAGGCAATTAATAGTTGGTAGGTCCACCTTCATCGGTTTTTCAATATGATGAACATTTTGAGATGAAAACTGACTAGTCCTACTTCTATTTTTGTCTATTGTATTGTGTCATTTTGAGCTGTGAGTAGTTTCAAGCTTGCGAGGCACATGTTCAACTAAGACAGATATGTGCATAACGAGAACACACCTAAGTGACATTACAATATTAGGAATCAGGACACGCTTCACTGAAGAGCGTCACTTTGCAGCAAATAAGAATTTGATTTGACTTCTTAGAAGAGTCGTCCTTAAGCTCTTGAGAGAGTTCTGGTTTTTTGACAATCAATCAAATCATTTTTCTACAAATTTCAAATCTTTCTGCAGCATCAGTTCGTAAGCTTTTGTTCATACTTATACTGCTTTCACAAATCTGAAGTTTGAAATTTTCATGTCCCTGGATAGTTGTCGATTGTACTATCAGACGTCTGGAAATTACTGGATGTCTCTTGATTATTAGTTGACAGATTCTTCTTTGTTTCAGCCCTATTGATTGCATCCATTGGACTTGTTGAATGTTTGATGTATGTTTCATATCCGAAACCATTACACGATGCAACATATATGGGAGAAGAAAAACGTGAAGAAGAAAGGAGGACCATGGCAGCTAAGCCAACATAACGATGACCTCTAATCCCACTAATCTTAATCTATTATCTAACTTTAGCTTTACAGTGAAGAAGGACCGAAAGCAATGGATAAAACAATAGATGATGGAGGACCGAAAGCAACAGCTAAACACCAACAGCAGCTGAGCTGTTATCCACCCTACTTTTAATAATGACACATCCAATACTCCCCCTCAAGCTGGATCCAAAAGGTTGATAGATCCAAGCTTGCCAAGAAGAAGCTGAAACTGATGAGAGGCCAATGATTTTGTGAATAGGTCCGCAAGTTGATCCGAGCTCCTTACAAAATGCGTTTGGATAACCTGAGATTGAACTTGTGTACGAACATAGTGACAATCGACTTCAATGTGCTTGGTTCTCTCATGAAAAACTGGGTTGGAAGCAATGTGCATTGCAGCCTGATTGTCACAGAAAAGGGACATGGATTGATGATTGAAAACACCTAAGTCACACAGTAAACCTTTGAGCCAGATTAGTTCACACGCAGTAGATGCCATTGCCCGATATTCTGCCTCAGCACTGGATCTTGCAACGACAGTTTGTTTTTTGCTTTTCCATGAGACAAGGTTGCCTCCCAGAAACGTGCAAAATCCCGTTGTAGACTTACGATCAATGGAATTGCCAGCCCAATCTGCATCACAATAACCTGTAATCTGAGTGCTTGCATTTTTCTTCATGATTATACCACGTCCCACAGAACCTTTTAGATACCGAAGTATCCTTTTGACTAGGTTAAAGTGCTCCATCGTGGGAGAGTGCATAAATTGGCTAACAATACTGACAGCATAGGTAATGTCGGGCCTTGTGATGGTCAGGTATATCAACTTACCAACCAACCGCTGATAATAACTTATGTTTGGAAGAGATTGACCCTCTAAGCTGACCTTAAGTTTAATGTCAAGAGGTGTAGGGACCGGTTTAGCATCACTCATGTTTGCTTCCTTAAAGAGATCCAGAACATATTTGCGCTGGTTAAGGAAGAAGCCCTTGTGAGATGTAGCCATTTCGATGCCAAGGAAGTATCTCAGAACACCAAGATCTTTTATTGCAAAGCGTTGCTGAAGGGAGTGCTTGAGTTCTTTGATTTCTTCAGGGTTATCTCCGGTGATGATCAAGTCATCAACATACACAAGAACAACCAATGTACCAGCGGTGCCTGAGCATACAAATAAAGAGGAGTCCACATTGCTTCTTCCAAAACCAACACTGATAAAGACTGAACTGAGCTTAGCATACCAGGCTCTCGGTGATTGTTTAAGACCATAAATTGATTTGTGCAGTTTACACACAACATCCTGTTTATGACTTTGAGAGTGACCTGGTGGTAATCTCATGTAGACGTCTTCTTCAAGCTCACCATGTAAGAAGGCGTTTTTTACATCCATTTGATACATAGGCCATCCTTTGTTGACAGCCACAGACAAGAGTACGCGCATTGTGTTTATCTTTGCAACGGGGGCAAAGGTTTCCTTGTAATCCACATCAAATGTTTGAGTGAAGCCACGGGCCACTAATCGTGCCTTGTGTCTTTCAATAGACCCATCCGAGTTGAATTTAATCTTGTATATCCACCTGCAGCCTACTATCTTCTTTCCTTTGGGCAGTGGCACAATGCTCCAGGTTTTATGTTGATCGAGTGCATGCAGTTCATCCTGCATTGCTTGCTGCCACACTTGGGATTGGTTAGCTTCTTGAAATGATTGAGGCTCTTCATGCACAGATATATTACTCAAATAGGCAGTGTAATTAGGTGACAACTTTTGATAAGAACAGTAGTTGGATAAGGGGTGCTTGAGCTTGTACGTAACAAAGTCTTGTAGTCTTGCTGGTGGGTGCCTCTCACAAGTTGGATTTCGTCGAGGTATGGTAGGAAGAGATTCTTCTGAAGGTTCTTCAGGACCAATACTACGTAGAGTTTCATCTTCTACAGGCATGTTGTTGTCGTCATATGAATCCGGTTGATTTGGAGCCACAAGATCCATTGTGTGAGTTTGATCACCCGCATTGTTGAGTATCTCAGTCCTTGGCAGTGGAAACATGTCCAAGATAATCTCCCCCTGACTTGTACTATCCAGAGACTTACTGTAATAAGAGTTAGTTTCATGAAATTGAACATCCTTTGAAACAATTAATCTCTTAAGTTATGGATTATAACACTTATACCCTTTTTGTGTGGACGAGTAGCCAAGGAAAATGCATTTAGTTGCCCTAGGATCAAGTTTGTCTCGATGTAATGACTAAACATGAACAAAACAGATGCATCCAAAGACTTTAAGGTGAGACAAGTCCACCTTTCTGTTCTTGACTATCTCCATTGGGGATTTGAACCCCAAAACCCTACTAGGTAATCTGTTGATCAGGTAAGCTGCTGTCATGACGTTTTGAGACCAAAAACGTTTTGGTACATTCATTTGTAACATCAATGCCCTAGTTTTTTCAAGGAGATCTCGGTTTTTTCTCTCGGCAACACCACTTTGTTGGGGTGTGCGAACACAGCTAGTTTGATGTATGATGCCATTGTTGCTCAAATATTGAGTCATGACTTGGGACATGTATTATGTGCCATTATCAGACCTTAGGGTTTTGATTTGAGAAGAAAAATGATTTTTGACAAGGTTGTGAAAGTCCTTAAACACTTCCATCACCTCATTTTTTTATTTTAACAAATATAACCAGGTGGCTCTTGAATAATCATCAACAAAAGTTATGAAATATTTATAACCATCAAAAGATTCATTTGTTGGTCCCCATATATCAGAGTGTACAAGCTCAAAAAGATGAGAAACTCTAGACATCGAAGACCCTAGAGGTAGTCTTGTTGCCTTTGACAAATGACAAGTTTCACAGTGGGTTGATTCTTTGCCTAAGTCAGGAAATAAGGTGGATAAGATAGGTTGAGATGGATGAGCTAGTCGTTGGTGCCACAAGGTGGAAGCTTGAATGGAGGTATGGATGGACTTTGACTTGGCATGGAACCCACAGGAAGAGCTTTTTGATATGTAATAGAGACCATCAAGGTAAAACCCCTCACCAATCGTCCTCTTGGTTATACAATCCTGAAAAATGACAGTTTTTGGTGAAAAAATGGCCAAACAATTTAAGGAATTTGTGATTCTTCCCACTGAGAGAAGTTGAAATGGAAATGATGGGACATATAGGGCCATAGACTCTATTTGATCAGATATCAGGTGGATTTTTCCCTTTCCTACAATCCTAGCACCTTCACCATTAGCAACAAATACATGTGAAGGATTATGTAGTTTCTCAAATCTATGTAACTTTGACATTTGATTAGTCATATGGTCTGTGGCACCAAAATCTACAACCCAAAAATCATGTAACTCATTTATTTTAAGAGCAGTTTGGAAAGCAGTTACGATACCTTTCAAGTCTGTCTGAGGTACATAATCAGCATCAGCTAAAAAACCTACAAATTTGCCCATCAATGCAGTAGTACTTCCATCTTCATGATCAACCGATCCATCCTCTTTTCCCTTCTTTTATTGGAGATACGCTGCGAACTCATTTAAAAGGATGGCAGGATTTGTAGTGAACTGTTGATAGGTATCAACATTGTTGATAGATGAAGATGTTGCAGTGTTGGCACGAGGGTGTGCTCGACTTGTCTTTGGTGCGGATTTATCCTTCATGAAGTCAGGTTTGAGTTCTGGATGTAGGATCCAGCACTTGTCTCTCACATGCCCGATGTTGTCACAATGTAGGCACTTTAAATGAGGGTTTTTTCCTTTATATCTTTTTTCATTTGTCAGGTAAGCCCTAGCTTCTGTCACGTTGGTTTTTATACCATTGTTCATGACCTTTCTCCTTACTTCCTCACGTTGGATAGTTGCACAGATACTAGTGAAGGATGGTAGCTCCGAGTTCATGAGAATGTGACTTCTCAAATCCTCATATTCTGAGCTCAAGCTAGACAATAATTGAAAAATTTTATCTTCTTCAGTTCTTTTAAGGAGCACAGAGAGATCAGTTGTGTGAGGTCTGTACACATCTAACTCATTCCACATGCTTCTCAAAGAACCAAGATGTTGAACAAAGCTTTTACCTTCTTGCTGTATGTTGGAGATATCCTTCTTGAGTTGAAAGATGCGAGCTGCATTGTTTTGATTTCCATACATCTCCTTCACGGTGGTCCAAAGGATGAGTGACGACTCGGAATAGCTGAAGATTTCAGCAATATTCCTTTCCATAGAATTTAACAACCATGACATGACCAGTTGATTTTTACATAGCCACCCTCCATATTCTGGAGAAGAAGCATTTGGTGCAGGTTGACTGCCATTGATGAAACCAAGTTTGGATCTTCCACCGAGAGCAAGACTAACAGCCCTTGCCCATGGCAAATAATTAAACTCATTCAATAATACTGAACTGAGTCTTTGTTTTGGATTGATATCCATTTCAGAAGCGCTTCCAGATGAAGAAGCAATGATACTTCCATCTACCATTGTTTTTGAAAAATAAACACAGCAGGTTCGATATACAGAACTGGCTCAGGATGATGCCCGCTCTGATACCATGTTGAATGTTTGATGTATGTTTCATATCTGAAACCATTACACGATGCAACATATATGGGAGAAGAAAAACGTGAAGAAGAAAGGAGGACCATGGCAGCTAAGCCAACATAATGATGACCTCCAATCCCACTAATCTTAATCTATTATCTAACTTTAGCTTTACAGTGAAGAAGGACCGAAAGCAATGGATAAAACAATAGATGATGGAGGACCGAAAGCAACAGCTAAACACCAACAGTAGCTGAGCTGTTATCCACCCTACTTTTAATAATGACACATCCAATAGGACTTCTGCTGCACAACTATCATTGCTCGAAGATGAGATGCGCAGAGTAGAAAGAGTAAATGTATGGAAAGCAATCATTATAACGTTCAGATTGTCCAAGATTTCTACTGATATGCACCTTCTTTATCATATATCACCATTTTGAAATCCTTAGTTGTGAATAGTTTTATTGTTCGTTTGTCACTTCAGTGGCTAAAAGTGTGCTGTGGATTTTCAGGTTGCACTGATGCTTGCAGGTATGGGCTCATCAGTGGATGTTTTCAGAATGGTATGTTACTTGTTCTTTGTAATATACATTGTTCTACATGAATTTAGCAACTTTCAGTTGATTTCTTGATGACTTGAAGCCATTTTCGAATTATTTGTTTCACTTTTCTTTGCTTTTGTGCGATGAACTACAATGTGTTGGTATATTATCTGAATTCTGCTAAAGCGAAGTAGAACAAAGAAGTTTATTCTCTGTAGCTCTTGAAACACTTATAATCAAGTAGCAAATCAAAAGAAGAATGTATAAAGATTTATTATACGGGTTCTTATACCCATCTGCTTAGATGATCTTTGGGATGAAATTACTTCTAGCCTATCTTCATTGTCCCGTAACTAGCTTAGCAATTTTTGTTAATCTGGCAGGCAAGTTCTCGGTGGCAAAAGAGGCAGTCACAAGTCTTGGTAGGAACTCTCATTTTCTTCAACTAATCTTATGTTTTGTGATTTATTTTGCTGCAAACTACTTCTTTAATTTCTTTTCTAAATATTTTCCTTTTCATAACCTACATTGTGGACACATGAAGTCATGAAATAGTAAATTTTTTGCTTCTGGGTTCTGCCCGGGACAAGTAAATATGGAGTTTGTTTGAATATGAAAATCTAGTCATGTGTTTCATTTTTTGTGAGGTTACATAATTGTAATAAACTTATCCTCCTGAAGGCTAAAATACGCCATTTTCATATTAAAATTATGTTCAATTTTCCCTGTAGATATTAATATGTGCTGGGTACAACAGATATGGAAATCATAACTAATGAAGTCATTATGACCTAAGCAACACTAAGTATTAATAATGCTGCTCCCAGAATACAAATATGAGAAGTTAAAAGTACAACATCGTCTGCAACAACGTGCAGGCGATGTTGGAGAAAAAGGAAAGGGACTATAAAGTAAAATTGGTAATATTGGGTGTATCGGTCGTATGAACTATGAACCAAGGATGAATCCTTCAATATTCTGATCTAAAGAGCTGTCTTCATGAAATTCCAACTTGTTCTGCTAAAGAAGAAAACGAAAAACCTTGAGTTGCCAATTTTTATGGTGCTGTTCCCTCTTGGCAGAAAAAAATTCGATGGCTGCTTACAAGTTTTAAAACTACTAAGTACATTTATACTTTTAGGTATGACGTTTCACAAACCTGGGTTTTATTGCAGGAACAAGCTAAAATTAGGATGATGAAGAAGAAGGATACGGATAAAACAGAATCATACTGGGACAACATTTGGGCTAACCCCAAAGAGTACCAAAATTCAGGTAATTGCAAACCCATGGAAAGAATGATAGCTGATGTCTGAAATATAAATGTACAGAACGCAATAGAACTTACTTAACGTGAGTGCGTCCATCCTTTCTTAATGTCTCACCATTTTACCCTCAAGTATTTCCTGAGAATTAAATGCAATCTGTAATAAAACCTTGTCTCTAAGAGTCTTTGATTTATGTTCTTTCTTGAGGTCTAGTGTCGTCTCTTCCTTTCCCTTGTCCAATGAGTTAAAATCAACTTGTTTGGATTGCCAACTGATAACAAAAGTATTACTTTCTTATGCTGCTGTGCTATGTCATATACTTGCATGGCTACGCAGAAAGCTTGCCCGTTATCCTCAGTAAGGTTCCATGTTTGTTGTCCTTTATCTTACCATTCCGACTTGCTTGCTTCCACGAGCAAAAGTTCTAATCTCCCTTGGGTGCCTATTAGATCCTCATCTCATCAAAATATTGATATTACGTTGTCGTAATGATTGGGGGGCACTTTATCGTTAAAGCTCCATGAAAGATGTTTTCTACCTAAACTTGTTTAATGCTTCATATGTTATAGATGAATCAAAGTCTGAAGTTATTTTTTCAGAGGAGGAAGTGAGAGAAAGAGCAAGGAGAGCAGCAGCAGCTGCTCGAAGATGGAGGGAGTACTCAAGGAGGGGTGCTGATAAGCCTCCGAGCTATAAACTTCCGGAGGCCATCTCCAACAACGAAAACTGACCATATTCATCTGTAGAGGACGAACACCATTGAAATTATTAGCATCAAATGTAAGTATTAGCAAATTTATAGTTATGGCTCGTGTAAATTTGTAATCATGTAAAATTTAAGGAGACCTAAAAAGTCTGCGTAATCAGTATAGCAGCTATCAGATTACCGTAAGATTGATCTATAAGTTAAATAAAGGAAAAACAGAGAGAAGATACACATACATAGAAGCATGCTGCATATATGCAAGTGAGGTTTTGGTTGCATCAAAGCATCGAGGTTGACGTTATTTCTTCTTTCGCCAAGACTCCATCCAGAATCCGAACACGAAACAGCAAACTTTGTAAGCGCATGCGCTACCGGATTGAGCAAGATGCCTACTTTATTTCCTTTAAAATGTTGATTCCAAACGCAGTATATATAAAGAACTGATTTACACACTTTCTTTTCTGTTTTTACAGACTTAGTTTTATTTTTGTCTACGATTCTTCTAAAATTTGTGCAATCCCAAAGGCTAAAGATCAATAGTGATGTGTTAGCTTTTTCCGCATGTCCTTGTATTCTTGGTATAAGATGCTACCTGGACGGTGTACTTATATCATAGAAGTTGATTTTGTGTTTGAGACATTAAAAATGGTGTGAGAATCAACTTTCTTTTGATAATTTATTCTTGTAAAGTGAAAATATATCTTCTGTCTTTTAAGCACAATACTTGACCTTTTACATTCTAACGAAGCAACAACATTTTATGGTACAAATGTCTTAATTAAACTTGTTTATTCTTTTTATTATCATCTAAAGATTATTTCTAGAGAAATTGATTCAATTTCAAAACTGTTTAGCCATCCACATGTGTCGAACAAATCGAGGGTTATGGTAAAAAGCAACATCCTTATGATGAAGTCAATTTGTTTCAATCATACGGATGACTAAAGTAACGGCTTCCAAATCGAATTCATTTTTTTAGAGATGGTTTTAGAAGATGAAAGGAGAATGAATAGTTACAATTGTAATTTTTATGCGATAAAATAATGTCGTGTTGTCATAAGCAGTGTCCATCTTGTAATGCAATGTTGAGGTCGAGGGTACCTTAGTTTACCGAATTCATAACTCAAAAAATTAATCCAAAATGGATAAGAAAAAAAATGATGTGGACATATTCCCTACTTTTGTCTCTTCGTTCCAAATGAATCTCCAAATCCATCAGTGGTTGATGGGATAGCATTATCAACTTATCACAGCCTATGAGAGGCAATATCCCCTTCATATCATTTACAACAAAATCAAAGAACCAACAAATTTCACCTTGAAAAATTAGAAAAAGAATAAAAAATCGGACCCAAGAAAATATTAGCACAAAGAGGGGTACATAACTTACATATACCAACTATATAAGGGAAAAAAATTTTACATTTGTGAATATCATATGATCTAGTGAATGGTATTTTTTCGGCGTGACAACAGCGAAATATAGCTTAGCTAATTAACAAGAAAATTAAGAAAAATAGTAGCTAGTGTCGGTTATCTTACAGATGATGCAACTGAATGAGCCCAGAACCTGAGATGATGCTTCATGTCCTTACCTAAATTAGTAGCAGCAGGTATTCTCCCCTTCATCAACATTTGGTTCTCTTTCTTTCTTTGATCCAAAACATCCCAAGCCTCGGACAGATAAGGCCGCCTTGAAACCACCCCATGATCCTCCTCCTCCTCCTCCTCCTTCTGATAATCTCTAACATCTTCTTCTTCACAACTTGCTAGCCTTTGCAAGCCGGGAATTATGGAAACCAGTCTTGAAGAATCCTTGTCTTCCTCAGTGAAGACGAACCCCAAATCCATAAAACCTTTGAGCTCCTCAAACTCTAGTTCTGACATGCTCTTACTTGGCCCTAGTACTCTTTTCCTTCTTTTTCTTCCACTACTCCTCCTGCTGCTGCTGCTGCTGCCGCCGCTGCTGCCGCTGCTGCCACTGCTGCAGCTGCTGCTACTACTTACCCGGCTGCTTTTTGTCGGATGAGCCGGCAGTTCATCGTTTTTGGAGAAGTTTGTGACTTGCTCACCGGAAAAAATTGTTTGCAGTTTCGGTGTGCTACTCGGAGAAAAGCTGGGCGTGTTTAAAAACTGGTCACTTAGAGACCTTAGCTTTAGGATTGGTAACTGTAGGGTTTCTTCTTGGGCTGATTCGTCCACTTGGAGAGTTGGGTTATTTGTTGCTTGTTGGGGTTGTGAAGGTGATTTCGGGCTCAAAATTTCATGCCCAAACCAGTACGAATCAAAGAGGTTGAGAAGTGCGTCTTCTTCTTTTTCTTCGGCAGCCATTTTGTTTTGCATGAGTTAGTGGATGTGGATGAAAAACAAGTAGAGTTTTGACAAGATGTGAGCTAGCCAGATAGCTCGAGACGGTTTCACGATTGTAGATAAGAATATCCATATATGACAACTGGATGGCGAGAGTGAGCTCCCAGTTTTGGCTTTTGCAGATGCCGAGTTTGATATTAATTTAGTGTGAGTTAGCTAAATCTCTCACAACTTAGTACAAATATACGAGAGATTGTATTCACAAACCTCAATTACTTTTTCCACACATTATTATTTTTTTAATATTTTTTTATATTCTACACTCCATTAATACTTAATAGAAAAATATTACAAAATTAAAAGAGTGTTGATGGAAGTAATTTGTGGTGTGTGAATATAATCTCTCCAAATACATATCGTTGCATTTAAAAAAAAAATTATAGCGTGATGTCTCATTAGCAATACTGTGGAGCAAAAAATAATCCGGAAAATTATGGAGCTGACATGTGAAATTTTACTCACAAATGATGGGAATGCACCTGGTGAGTTCCACATTTGTTCCACGCGCGGTTTAACCCCCTTGAACAATTGAGCTGTTGACTATGACTTCTCCAAGCTTCGCCGCACATAGCAAGGAGAAAAGTCGAAGGTATTAAAGATAGAATTAATAACCAAACCTTATCTTTAAAGCTTTCGTTATTGAAAACCAACTCAATCAAGGAAGGAATCACAATCAAATCCAATCAAGTATACTATATATAATCTCAATATATTATTTAATTAATAATATATTCATGATTATTATTTTCTCCATCCAACAGATGACAGACATTGGCCAACTTGATGTCGACATGTGGCATGGAATATGTTGGAATCAAATTCGCGTAGCACCGTAAGTATGTGGAGGAAGTTCTCGAACTCGACTACCTGCAAAACAATAAACAACAGTAAGCAAAATTTCTAATCTCCCTTGGCTGCCTATTAGATTTGCATCTTCTGTGCTAGTGGTTCTTGCTGAATCCTGCCTCAGCTCATATAGTCTTTTCAGCATAAAATTATTATCCTCTCTAACTTCAACTATCTCATCAAAATATTGATATTACGTGGTTGTAATGATTGGGGGGCACTTTATCGTTAAAGCTTCCATAAAAGATGGTTTCTACTTAAAACGTTTTTTTAATGCCTTAATGTCATCATATGTTATAGATGAATCAAAGTCTGAAGTTATTTTTTCAGAGGAGGAAGTGAAAGAAAGAGCAAGGCGAGCAGCAGCAGCAGCTCGAAGACGGAGGGAGTACTCAAGGACCGGTGCTGATAAGCCTCCGAGCTATAAACTTCCGGAAGGCATCTCCAACAACGAAAACTGACCATATTAATCTGTAGAGGACGAACACCCATTGAAAATATTAGCATCAAATGTAAGTATTAACAAATTTATAGCTTATAGCTCCTGTAAATTTGTAATCATGTAAAATTTAAGGAGATCGAAAAGTCTGCGTAATCAATATAGTAGCTATCAGATTACCATAAGATGGATCTATAAGTTCAATCAAGGAAAAACAGAGAGAAGATATACGTATACAGAAGCATGCTGCATGTATGCAAGTGAGGTTTTTGTTGCATCAAAGCGTCGCGGTTGACGTTATTTCTTGTTTCTCCAAGACTCCATCCAAAATCCGAACACGAAATAGCAAACTTTGTAAGCGCAAGCGCTGCCGGATTGAGCAAGATGCCTAATTTGATCGATTATTATTTTACTGTTTTCCTTTAAATTGTTGATTCCAAACGCGGTATATATGAAGAAATGATTTACGCACACTTTCTTTTCTCTTTTTAAAGACTTAGTCTTTTTTTTTTGTTTTTGTTTTTTTTTTTTTTTTGTCTATGAGTCTAAAATTTGTGCAATCCCAAATGCTAAAGATAAATTGTGATGTGTTAGCTTTTTCCGTGTGTCCTTGTATCATTGGTACGGGACGCTACTTTGACGGTATACTTGTGTCATAGAAGTTGATTTCATATTTGCGAAGCTCAAAATAATGTGAGAATCAGCTTTCTTTGATAATTTATGTTTGTAAAGTGAAAATATATATCTTTTGTTTTTTAAGCACAATACTTGATTTTTTACATTTTACGAAATGACTATATTTTACAGTACATATGTCATAATTAAGCTTGTTTATTCTTTTCATTGTTATCTCAAGATCACTCTAGAAAAATTGATTCAATTTAGAAACTATTTAGCCATCCATATATGTCAAACAAATCATACGGATGAATCAGGCTAAAGTAACGGCTTCCAAATTGAATTTGTTTAGCAACATCCTTATGATGAAGTCAGTTTGTTTCAATCACATGGATGACTAAAGTAACGCATTTCAAATCGAATTAATTTTTTTAGAGATGGTTTGGTTTTATAATGAGAATGAATAATTACGATTATAATTTTTGTGCGATAAAATAATGTCGTGTCGTCATGTAAGCAGTGTCGATCTTCTAATGCAATGTTGAGGTCGGGTACCTTAGTTTACCGAATTCAACTTTAAAAAGTTCATCCAAAATGGTTAAGAAAAAAATGTTGTGGACATATTCGCTACTTTTGTCTCTTTGTTCCAAAGGAATCTCCAAATGCATCAATGGTTGATGGGATAGCATTATCAACTTATCACAGCCTATGAGACAATATCCCTTTCATATCATTTACAACAAAATATCAAAGAACCAACAAATTTCACCTTGAGAAATTAGAAAAAGAATAAAAATCAGACCCACGAAAAAATTAGCGCAAAGAGTGGTACATAACTTACATTTACGAACCCAAGGGAGAAAAATTTACACTTGTGAATATCACAAAATATGATCTAGTGAATGATAATTCTTCCGCGTAACAACAACGAAATATAGCCTAGCAAATTAACAAGAAAATTAAGAAAAATAGAAGTTAATTAACAATAAAATTAAGAAAAATAGAAGTTAGTGTTGTTATCTTACAGACGATGCAACTGAATGAGCCCAGAACCTGAGATGATGCTTCATGTCCTTACTTAAATTAGTAGCAGCAGGTATTCTCCACTTTATCAACATTTGGTTCTCCTTCTTTCTTTGATCCAAGATATCCCAAACCTTGGACAGACAAGGCCGCCTTGAAACCACCCCGTGATCCTCCTCCTCTCCCTCCTCCTGATCATCTCTAACATCTTCTTCCTCACAACTTGCTAGTCTTTGCAAGCCGGGAATTATAGCAACCAATCTTGAAGAATCCTTGTCTTCCTCAGTGAAGACAAACCCCAAATCCATAAAACCTTTGAGCTCTGACAAGCTCTTACTTGGGCCTAGTACTCTTTCCCTCCTGCTGCTGCTGCTTCTGCTTACCCTGCTACTTTTTGTTGGATGAGCCGGCATTTCATCGTCTTTGGAGAAGTTTGTGACTTGTTCACCGGAAAAAAATTGTTTGCAGTTTCGGTGTGCTACTCTGAGAAAAGCTGGACGTGTTTAATAACTGGTCACTAAGAGACCTTACCTTAGGGTTGGTAATTCTAGGGTTTCTTCTTTGGCTGATTCGTCCACTTGGAGAGTTGGGTTATTTGTTGCTTGTTGGGGTTGTGAAGGTGATTTCTGGCTCAAAATATCATGATAAACCAGTAGGAATCAAAGAGGTTGAGAAGTGCTTCTTCTTCTTCTTTTTCTTCTACTGCCATTTTTTTTTTTTGCATTAGTTAGTGGATGTGGATGAAAAACAAGTGGAGTAATTGAGAAGATGTGAGCTAGCTAGATAGGTCAAGACGGTTTGACAATTGTAGATAAGAACGAGCAAAAAAGCTCGCCTGTTGCCGCGGGTTTACAACAATGATTAGCAACTAAAATTGGTCCACGAATTAATAAAAAAAGAAAGACCAAGTGAAAATCTGAACACTATTAGCAAATACATGCATGGCAGTTCCATAAATATTATCTTGGATGGGCAACGTGCAAAATTTGCCAACATATTTTGAACATATACCCTAAAAAATTAGTACATATTACTATGCTTCATAATTAACCAAATTTAAATAAATACCCTACGCGACTTATTGTTATCACTTTTTATAATCAATGCTTTTTTTTTTTTTTTTCCTTTCCATTGGTCGATTTCTTTGCAGCCTCTTTCTCGAACACAAACGTTTCTCAAATCTTCTCAATTTCATACCCAAAATGTTGAGTTAGATCATCACATTTCAGGATTGGATAACTATGAAAATACTGTTACTGTGGAAGAGACGACATAGGGAAACAACAGCAGGGCAAGGGAGCAAGACGTCGTCGTTTAGGCTTAGGGTGTTTAAAAAAAAAATTTCCATTCCTCCTCCCGTAGTTTCTGCTTTGCCTCAAGTAGCTTTCTAGTCATTCTTTCTGGGTGGGCAAACTGAGTTTCGGTCAAGGGGTTTTGAAGATTGAAACCATGTGGAGGAATTTGGTGGCGAAATTGATCTAGATGAGCAGATAGGGATTTGGGTTTGGAAGGATCTGGAGAAATCTCACAGTGAAATTTCTTGTCTTGATGGTTTGAACATTTAGATGAGCTCTTTTTTGGTTTCGATTCGAATTGGAGTACAAAGCAAGCGGTGCAAACTGCAGATGAAGGAAATACTTAGTTCAATGCACTAAATCTTGTTAGTGTTACTTTTGTTTAGCTGGGTTTAATTTCCAGAAGGCTGAACAGAAGCAAGAACAAAAGACAGAAGAAGCTGAACCGAAAAATTTTCTTTCTGTTCTCTCATGCAAAAGTATTGCAGAGGAATAATCTTTGTACAGCACACACAATGCACACTCACACTGCTTTACATTTAATTGATGGCCTTAGCTTTAGGACCACACAAAACACTACTTTTAATCTTAGTCACTCATCAACCTAATTACATGGATCAAATACCACATAGCACTCATGGCCTTACATCATTTAACCTTACACTTGGCAGATATGCTCAAGTGAATACACACATTAAAACTCATCTTATTTCTAATACTTAATCAGCTATAGACTTATAATTCAACACTCCCCTTTAAGTCTTGAGCTGATTTCACTCCTAGCATGCTCCTGAGATAATTAAACCGATCTTTAGGCAGAGGTTTTGTGAAGATATCAGCAAGTTGCTCATTAGTTGGACAGTACACCAGATCAATGATGCCATCCTTCAGTGCATCCTTGATGAAATGGTATCTTCTGTTAATGTGTTTGGTCTTTTGATGGAACACAGAGTTCTTGGTGATTGTAATTGCTGAGGTGTTGTCACAGTGCACTGGAGTGGCTTCGGTTTGAAATTCACCAAAATCTTCAAGAACAAATCTCAACCAAATGGCTTGAGTAGTTGCTTCTGAAGCACTGATGTACTCTGCTTCTACAGTGGAAAGAGCAACACAATTTTGCTTCACAGATGCCCAAGAGAATACTCCACTGCCAAAGGAGAAAGCATAACCAGAAGTACTCTTACTGTCCTCAATTGATCCACTCCAGTCACTGTCACAGAACCCAATTAACATTGAGTTCTTACCTTTCACATATTCCAGACCATAATCAAGTGTGCCCTTAATGTATCTTAGCACTCTTTTAGCAGTTCCAACATGCTTACTGGTAGGGCAGTGCATAAATCTGGCTAACAAACTGGATGCATACATAATATCGGGCCTGGTTGCAGTGCGATATAAGTGACTTCCCACCATGCTTCTGTATAACTCTTCACTTGCTGCACCACTTCCATCATCCGTGGTTAACTTCTCAGTTGCAACCAATGGAGTAAGCATATGTTTGCACTCTTTTAGACCAAATTTGTCTAACAGAGAGCTTGCATATTTCTTTTGGTGGATGAAAATGCTTGAAGTTGATTGAATTATTCCCATTCCAAGGAAATGATGGAGAAGACCCAAATCAGTCATCTCATACTTTCGTGTCATGTCTTCCTTGAATTCTTCAAGCATTTGTTTGTTGCTCCCAGTATAGATTATGTCATCCACATAGATCGACACAATCAAAATGTCTTTCTCTTCTGCCTTGATGTATAGTGTTGGTTCACTTAAACTTCTTGTGAAACCACATTGTAAGAAATATGTATTGATCTCTCCATACCAGGCCCGTGGTGCCTGTTTTAGACCATACAAGGCTTTGTGAAGTTTATATACCCTGTCTTCCTCCCCTTTAGCTACAAAACCATCAGGCTGCTCCACATAAACCTCCTCCTCTAGAACACCATTTAGAAAAGCCGACTTGACATCAAGTTGATAGAGTTTCCACCTCTTTTGTGCAGCCAATGCTATAAGGGTTCTGATTATATCTAACCGAGCAACAGGAGCAAAAGTCTCATTGTAGTCTATTCCTGGTTTCTGGGCATATCCCTTTGCAACAAGCCTTGCCTTGTTCTTTTGCACAGTTCCATCCAGGTTGAGTTTGGTTTTAAACACCCATTTTACTCCAATTACAGGCTTGTTACTTGGCCTGTCTACTAACTCCCAGGTTGCATTCTTTTCAATCATGGAGAGCTCATCCTTCATAGCATTCATCCAAGATTCATCCTTAACTGCATCTTCAAATTTCTCTGGTTCTATAATGCACAGATTGCATTGAGCAAGTACATCATCCAGCTTTCTCCATTTTAATGGAGTATGATCAAATGTCTGAGTGTCACTCACACCTGCACTTGACTGAGAATTGACCTGTGTATCATCAATACCACTTGCAGCTTCTTCCAATATACCAGGTGATAAACCACTTGAACCTTGAGTGTCATTTTCTGTATTCTCACTTCTTGGTGTATCCACAGTGTCAAACTCATAAGTAGGCAGTGACATATATCTTTCTGTGCTTCTTTCCCAATTCCAAGCTGAGTTTTCATCGAACACAACATCTCTTGACAGAATCAGTCTCTTAGAGAGTGGATCAAACTCTATAACCTTTCTCACATTTTGCATATCCAACAAAGACTCCTTTTATACTCTTGGGTTCTAGCTTGTGTCTTAGCTCGGATGGAGTATGAACATAACAAACCGAGCCAAAGACTTTCAAATGAGCAATACCAGGTTTCCTTTTGCTGTAAGCTTCAAAAGGTGTTATACTATCCAGTGATTTGGTAGGACATCTGTTTAACAGATAGACAGCAGTATGCACAGCTTCTGCCCACATATAGTAAGGCATTCCTTTATCATGAAGCATAGACTTGGCCATTTCAATCACAGTTCTGTTTTTTCTTTTAACCACTCCATTTTGCTGTGGAGTGTAAGAGAGAGACAGTTGCCTTTGGATTCCCTCTGTGTCACAGTATTGCTTGAATTCATTTGATAAGAACTCCCCTCCTCTATCACTCCTTACACATTTTACCTTCATTCCACTTTGCAACTCAGTCATGGCCTTGAATTTCTGAAAACAAGTAAAAGCTTCAGATTTGAATCTAAGGAAATACACCCATATCATCCTGGTTGCATCATCTACAAGCAACATGAAGTACTTGTTTCCTCCAGTAGACTCGATTCTCATTGGTCCACACAGATCTACATGAACCAATTCAAGTGGAGCACTAGCTCTTTGTGCTTGACCACTAGGAAACCTTTCTCTGTGTTGCTTACCATATTGACAGCCTTCACACACTTTGTCGTACTCATCTAGATATGGTAATCCATGAACCATGTCATTATCCTTCAATTTCTTGATTCCACCAAAGTGTAGGTGGCCTAATCTTCTGTGCCAAGTCAGAGAACAATGAGCAAAACTGGTCTTCAACACAAGTTGTTTCTCAGGCCGTAGAGATAGAGGATAGCACCTGTTTTCTTTCATTTTTACACAGATAATTTGACATTTCAGAGAAGGACCATAAAAAACAGTACACATATGTCCACCAAACACAAGATAATATCCATGCTCATCCATTTGTCCTACACTTAATAGATTCTCTTTCAAACCAGGTAGGTACATGACTTCTCGAATGTATTTTCTTCCTCTATTAGTCTCAATTTCCAGTGATCCCATTCCTGCCACATTAACTAACCCTCCTGTTGGCATTTGAACTTTCCCTGCAACATTTGTATTCACATCAACAAGAAGATCAACATTTCCTGTCATATGATTACTGCAGCCACTATCTATGTACCAATCTCCATTAACCTTAGTCTCAGCAACTGCAGAATTTGCAAAAAATAAGTTTCCTGTTACTTCCATTTGACTTGCACAGTTTGCCTTTTGAACAGACTTTCCAACAGTACACTCTCTGGCCCAATGACCAAATCTATCACAGTTATGGCACCTGGATTTCCCCTTATATCTACATTCACCATGATGAAACTTTGAACACACCTTACACTGAGGTTTTACACCCTCTTGACCCATAATCTGTGAGGAAGTACTATTCTGTGCAACATTTGTGAATGATTTCTGCTGAAACTTTGGTTTCGAATCCCATTTCTTACCCTTTTGATTCCAATTTTTCTGTGGTTTAAAAGTACTAGACTGAGCATAACTTCGATTCTGCCCTTTTGAACTAACAGTAAGAGAAGAAAATGCTCTCTCAGCTACATCTGAGGAATGCAAATCAAACCTCTGCTCTTGACTCTTCAATATAGCTAGTACCTCTTGCAGTTCAACAGATTCTAAACATTTGGTGTTTTCTATCACTAAGCATATAGGATCATATATCTTAGTGAGACTGATTAACACCTTCTGAACTAATCTCTCATTTGACAGAGTTTCACCAAACGTCTTCATTTGATTTATCAAATCATTTAAATGAGTAAGATACCCAGTCAAGGATTCATCATCACGCATTCTAGTGTATTCAAACTCTCGTCTAAGGTTCTGGAGTTTCACAGATCTTACCTGATCCCCACC